TCTGAGAAGTCATCGGATTCTCCTCTTTCTACTTCTCCCTCATGACCTTCACCCCTGTCGGAGGACGACGAGGACAAAGACAGAGTTCTCTTTCTATTTTTTATCGGGGAGCTAGGCTCCGATCTTGCTTGTTCACATATTTTCATTTTTGTGCGTTTATTACTTCCTATGATGTTTACCCTTTCTACTACTTTTCTGGGAGAAGGGGCAGATGGGGTGGTTTTCTCATTGCTACTGGAAGACTCCTTTGTTGTAGGCCTATCTTTTTTCCTGTTTTTTACAATTTCAAAACCCTCCCTCTCCACCAATTCCTTGCTATTGTTCTACATTCCCACACAGTCTCCCACCAAAGCCGCTGCGTAAGTTTCCTTCTGAGACTGTTGGGGTTGTTCATTATTCTTATTGCTCTTTTGGATAGCCCTCTTCGGACATTGATTAGACCATAGGTCCTCCTGTTGACAAAACCAAAATTGTTGCCTTCTTCCAGGGGTTGTGACCAGAACCTTAATTATTCGTCCTTGGATCGCTCTCATACCTGAGTTGGGCATAAGGTGGCAGCTCGACACGTTTTCGTGGTTTTAACCACGCCACCCATTTATCCGCATTACCCAATCTCACCTTTAATTTTGAACCTTCTCAGCAAAAGATTGAAAAATTTGGACGTCATCGAGGCTCTGACTGCTCCCTGCCAGGACAATTTTAGCAGCAAAGTGCTTGGTGGGTGGACCGAACCACCCTCCAGATCCTTGCGTTCAATCAAGAATATCTTATAGATATGATAAAAAACAAGAAACGGAGACAACACGCTCGTCACGGAAATACAAAAAATTCCAAGGAAAATGAAACAAAAACACAAAATCTAAAGTAAGAAGAGAACGTCCCTGCTTTAAACAGTAACAATATATTTCTAATTCCTATCTGTTGAAACATTAGATATAATCTCAATAAACACTCCTTCAATAAAATGTTTAATTACATTCGGCATTTATGTAGCCTTTTCACTTAGGGGCAAATTTCGACTACATAAAGGGGTCCCCAGACCTAGGGGCACATTTCGACTTTATAAAGGGGTCCCCAGGTCTGAGATAGAAAAAAATAGCTAAGAACTAAAATTAAATCGGATCGCCTTTTATTCCACATTAAAATTATTATTACGAATTTTAAGACTAATTTCCTTATGCATAACATTATTATTATAATTAGATGTAAATCTACTTAATATAGATTAGAATCTTGATTAGGGGCAGCCCTACTTAAGATATAAGCAGACATTAATAAGACAGCCGCAGCTAGCCCTTTTAATTTCCTCTCCTCTTATACATTAAGCTTTTCCATTAATTACTAAATCTATATTAATACAGTACTAAATCTATATTAATACAGTACTAAATCTATATTAATACAGTACTAAATCTATATTATTACAGTACTAAATCTATATTAATACAGTACTAAATCTATATTATTACAGTACTAAATCTATATTATTACAGTACCGGCTAAAGGCCTAAATAATTATCATTGTTAAGTTTTGACAAGGAAAAAAAAAAAAAAACAATACTTGACAATAGGAAAATTGATGTACTGAGTTTCCAAGAAAATATGGAATTACTGCACTATTTAAAGCATTGTTATGTTAAAAAATGTGGAGGCTATAGTGATAAAGGACAAACCGGAGGGTCCTGGGTTTGATTGGCAATTTTAATTCTGGGATCTTTAGGGCGCAACTGAGTTGACCCAGGTCTAATGGGTACCTGACATTAGTTGGGAAAAGTAAAGGCAGTTGGTTGCTGTGCTGGCCACATGACACCCTCATAAACCGTGGCCCACAGAAACAGATTTACTTTAACATCAGACTATCAAGTCAACTATATCATATTCAGAAAAAGGAATTGAATGAAACTGCCATTAGACAAAGAAAAAAATGGTTAGAGCAAGTTTCATCCAAAGTGAAAACTAGAAAAAAAGCAGAGGGTCAAATATCCAAACTTAAGTGAAAAACTAGAATGAATGCAAAGAGGGTCAAATATCCAAACTTAAGTGAAAAACTAGAATGAAAGCAAAGAGGGTCAAATATCCAAACTTAAGTGAAAAACTAGAATGAAAGCAAAGAGAGTCAAATATCCAAACTTAAGTGAAAAACCAGAATGAAAGCAAAGAGGGCCAAATATCCAAACTTAAGTGAAAAACTAGAATGAAAGCAAAGAGGATCAAATATCCAAACTTAAGTGAAAAACTAGAATGAAAGCAAAGAGAGTCAAATATCCAAACTTAAGTGAAAAACCAGAATGAAAGCAAAGAGGGTCAAATGTCCAAACTTAAGTGAAAAACTAGAATGAAAGCAAAGAAAGTCAAATATCCAAACTTAAGTGAAAAACCAGAATGAAAGCAAAGAGGGTCAAATATCCAAACTTAATACAAATTCTTAGAATCTGATCTACATAATTTTTCCAAAAAGGATGCACTCGAAATGCTGACATTGGAATTGACTATTTCATGAAGACTCTGTCCAGGAAAGTGGAGAACCATCAGAGCCCTTTGAAGTATCAAATGGGGTAAAACAAGGCTGTGCCTTAGCCCCCACACCATTTAGTTTTCAGAATGTCTATTATATTTTCAATTTTCCAATATTTGAAGCTTTAATTTAAGTTTATCTGTTTACACTATTAGTTGAACAGTTCTTGGACAATTTTGAACAGTTTTTTTCAGTTTTAAAATTTGGATCACTTTAAAATTTAAGCTCTTAAATTTGTATTGTGTACACTATCATCCCCTTGTGATATACATTTCTGTGTATTTTATTTATAATTTGTTTACACATTAAAAATAAAATGTATAAAATAACAAAGCAAAATTATATGCAAGCAAATGTTTATTAACAAAAATGAGCCATTTATTAAAGTGATGCTTTTTGCATTATATTGTAGAAATGTACAATTTCCATGTACATACAGTAAAAAAATATACAAAAAATTAACAAGTAAAATTAACAATTAACATAAGCACTAACAAGTAAATAATATGCAAATGGTTGAATGAAAAACAGTTTCAACCCTTAAATTCAACAGGGATCGCAGTTTCTTTAGGTGCTTCTATAGCTAATTTGGCTGCCCTGATATTGAGAACACCTTGTGAAGTCATTGTTGATGTTACAGACTTTGCATCCACATCCTGAAAAAGCAAAATAGGGTTTAGCCAAAACAAATATATATATAAATACATACATCACAGTGTATTAAGTGATCAACTTTAATAATTATAGATTTTATATAGCGCTACTTTCATGCTTAAAGCATGCCTAGAGTGCTGTGATACAATCTCATTTGTGGACCAGTGGGATAGAGGGGGTATCTGGGAGAAGGTTTTCCGTGCAACCTTTAGATGCTCAATAAACAGAACTCTGCTTGACTCGGGTTTCACTTTGGAGTAACTAGAACTGAATACTTAGATCAATTGAGCTTTTTGACAAGCTTTAATATAGACCTTGAGCACATAATATACAAGAACTAATAATTGGGGAGACATTGCAATTAGTTTAGATGATTTAAGTCTTAAACCATATAATCAACCCAGATGTGTACAAAAGTTATACAAAAACACATACAAAATTAATCATCCACATACTTACTTCAGGTAACTTGTAAAGTCTACAAATCTCTCTAGACACAAAGCCATGATTGTCCTGTTTTTCTTCATGCTTTGCAGTAATTTTGACACGATTGTTTTCTGATGTGATTTTGACTTCCTCTGGCTTGAAGTGATGCAAATCTAATCTGATTCTGAATTCTTTATCAGTGTTTTGAACCTGAAGATTAGACAAAATAGAAAACATTAAAATTATCAATGTTAAAATGATTTAAATTATTTACTCAATAAAAGCCTAAATGGCTCTCCTAAAATTTAACTTTTCCAAAGTAGATTAAGCATATCAAAATAAATATCTTAAAATCTCAAAAATGATATAGAGATTTGGAATTTTTTTTCTTTTTTGCAATAAAATGTCTAGTCATGGTTAAATTTAATGTCTTATGTAATAATTAGATGTTTTGCCACTGAGAAATAATTGGCAAATAACATTTGTTTAAAATTATTCTGTTATAGATTATGTTTTAATAAAGTAAAAGTAATCTCTAGTACATAATTTAAATATATGTATATTAAACCAGGTTTAACTGGCACTGGTGTAGAGAAGGGGTATATGGATCTAGAAATAAATACTTCCTATCAACTCACAATTTAAGTTTATATCAGTATCAGGTGTAAAATGAATAAGTAAACCAACTTAAAAAATCAGTACAGAATACTCATGAACATCCCAAAACCATCCCTCTGAGTCTGACTCACAGATTTGTTATGCATAGGATACACTACAAGAACATTATTAGTAGATCTATCTTTCTATCTATAGTCCAAGAAATTTAGATTAGACACATGAAGACTAATTACAGATCTTGCTCTGTAAAGTGTAAATATAATGTGTAGACACTTGGCTTTTAGAATACAGAGTTAGAGAGATCTTATTCTAAATATAGATAACTTTCTAGTTACTGTTCTAAAATGAATTGTGAGATACTCTTATACAAGAAAGATCTTTATAATCTAGATCTAAACTAAATATTCTTATTCTGCATAGATCTAGACTTAGGACTTAGACCTAGTTTTGTAAATAAAACTGTATCTAGTATAGACTCTAGGTCTAGATAGACTGAAGACTCTCTATAGTCAATTCATTAAAAGTGATAGAGATGAGAAGATAAGATACTTACTTCAGATTCTCTGCTGGCAGCTGCAGTTGCCTCTCTCAGCCACAAAGGTGTTCTGAAGTCCCATGGATTTGCCATTTCATCGGCTAAACGAATTAAGCCACAGTCATCGATTCTTGGTGTAATAGCGAACATGGTTGCAGAGGAAACTGACAATGATAATCACCTCAAACAATAGCTAAGATCGAACTCGATATCTTGGGGTGTCAGTCTGAACTGTGTGGAGTGTGGGTGAGCTGAGCACGGACGCTTGACTTGTGAAGATCTACCCAAACGTTTTCAGCAATAGGTCTATGTGTCAATCTGATCGGGGTGAGGTGCGCGGTCATCTTTTATACTCTACTCATAGACTTTTCAAGAAGCGACGAGAAAATAAAATAGTCCTTGACGCTTGGCCTTGATCCCTCAAAATATTCCCAGCCAGCCAGTTATGTTGACCAGCACGATGTAAACACATTTAGCTCCGCCCACTTTTACTGAAAAACATGTACTTCTAGAGATTTCGAGAAACAAATCCGTTTTTTCCCCCTTAGAAGTGTGTACATGAACAAGTAAACAAGTTTACTGTAAACTTCTAATGCTATTTTGTCTGTATTTATGATATATTCATAAAAATGAGAAATATCTAAAATTAAATATAAAGATCTATTTATTTATAGACGTGATTTAGGCTAGATCTATATTCTAGATCCATTGACTAGATCTAGATTACCCATAACGAAGTTAGTTTATTCTGGTAAAGCTTTTTAAAAATTTTGATTATAAGTACAACATATCACCTAATATCGCCTTTTAAAATTATAATACATATATTAGCGTATCAAATTTTAACTTAATTAAACGGAACTAAAACGGTTAACTTGAAATGTATCTATTAGGCAGGCTTCCCGAACACCCCAAATTCAACATAAATCTGTGTTTTAAAGTAATATTGAAGCATTGTTTTGATAATGGATTTGCCAATACAGCCTCCAAATTATTGACACTACACATTTAGATTTAAACAAGGGGGGGGGGGGGTTGGTGCGACTATTCTGGGGACAGAGGGGTTACTATAACTAGATATTGCCCCCTTCCCTCTCGTGGAGCACGATTAACCTGCTTGGGGGTAGGGTATTGTATATGATTTTAATTTCTTTTGATAAATGTCCGAATGATTACTATTCTAAATAATTTGTTTTTAGATTACAAATATTGGATAATAGTACTATATACACACCGAATACGCCCGTTAATTTATTCCCATGCTTTATATGGTTTATAATGGCGGGAACATTTCTTTTTTATTTTAATTAAATAAACGGGCCACATTTTAACGGTCACCAATTTTTTTTTTGTATAACAATAGGAACAAAATATAAATAATAATAAAAAAAAGTACCAATAACAACTAACAAACATATCTTTGCTTGTCATAAGCAGATATCAAAATATCACTTAAGACTGCTCCGGTCAAGGTCACGTTACATCATTATTATAATGCGTATCACAGGTCGATATAGCCTAAACAGAATTCTGTAAGATTTTCTTGTCTGTTTGCATAGAGGATGCATACAATAGGCTACCTGTGAATAGCTATTAGATAGGCCTATAAAAACTTACATATTAAAGAACAAGTCTGCTTGTGTAACAAAAAAAAAATGCATTATATGTAGGCCCCATGCTACTGGCCATTTTTGCTTACACTACGAATTATGAAATCTCGTAGTTTTTTTTTTAACTGAACCCAAGTTAGAAGTGGGCAGTTACGTCATCAATGTCTGCTCCAATCAGGTCACGGCCTGCTGCTTCCAAGTTTGCAGGACAGTGATGTAAACACCAGTGTCGCTCAACCTGACTGTCGCTCTGTGTAGGGTACTTGTGGACAAGCCCAAACAATGTTTATTTAAGACATTTTAAGACGACACATATTGATAAGCTTACTATCGGACAACACAATTTTTAGTAATGGTCGCGCTACACTTTCTTTGCAAAAAATGTGTATTAACACGAGACACTTATCAACCCTTGTTTCTGTGTACTATTGCACTTTTATCCAGACATTGACCCAGCAATGGCTTTGACCTAAGACCAATCGATCACAACTCTTCTTCTTGCATTCGTCTGTTGTATGAAGTTTAGTTGTACTCAGTATGCACCAGTGTACAATGGTTGTTTACAGTATGGACTAAGTATTCAATGGCTGTACACAGTATTGCTGTACATACAATGGCTGTACACAGTATTACTTTACATCCAATGGCTGTACACATTATTACTTTACATACAATGGCTGTACACAGTATTACTTTACATACAATGGCTGTACACAGTATTACTTTACATACAATGGCTGTACACATTATTACTTTACATACAATGGCTCTACACAGTATTACTTTACATAAAATGGCAGTACATAGTGTATCTTGAAACTCATAGTAATGTAGCATCCTCAAAAAAAAAAATTAACCTGTTTTTTTTTTAAAAATGTATTACAGGGTGAATCTATTTTCAATATTTTTTGTTTGTTTTGTTTTAGTGCCGGATTTTGTATTGTGTATGCCTTGTAAGAATGATCTTTTATGGAAGTCCCCCCCCCCCCCACCTCCACGACGTATGAATGTGCATGTATCTACTTACAATCATTCAAAGTCGGAGGTCGGCAAGTATTTTAGCTTGGCGTGCCAAACATTTGTTTAAAGACCCCATGACGGGCGGCAGTTATTATTATAGCTTATATATAGCGCCACTTTCATGCTTATAGCATGCTCAGAGCGCTTTGGTCCAATCTCATTTGTGGACCTGTGGGGGGGGGGGGGTGAGGGGGTATCTAGGAGTTGGTTTTCCGTGCTGCCTTTAGGCGCTCAGTAAACGCAACTCTGCCCTAGTCGGGTGTCGAACCTAGGTAGCCGAGACAAGCCAAGTTCAAGCGCACTTAGCCTCTCGACCACGCTTCCCACTTTAAAAAATTGGTACAATGCTACAGTAGATAAGTAGAATAGTACATGCAGGTCTTTGAATATTTAATTATTTAGCTGTTGTACATAGTATAAATATTGCTGTAAATTAAATTTTAAAAAGAAATATCAGCAGATTCTGTAACTCTCTCTATATATTCTAATAGATATTTATGTTAATTTGATTTCTGCAAGTTTATTTTATTTGCATTCTTTAAACGTGATCTTGAAAATGTTGCAAGATTTAATTGTTGATGTATATTCTCATAGGAGAACATGGAGTACAGCGTATTCTTGTAGAAATCTAATCTTGAAAATGTTCCTTTACATTTGTATGATCTGCAAGAATCATTCACGCTGCTAACGTCTTCTTCTGCAGTAAAAATATGTTGCTTGATGGTCTTTGCAGCTTTGTTCATTTGCAGCCCAATGATTTTATTTGTATCCGGGTGTCACAGCCTGGTTAACCTCACAGGTCTGGACGGTCTTGAGCTGGTCTGTGTGTTATAGCTACCTCTTCTGGTACCACTATAAAGTTCTTTGCCTTACTAACTAAATACCTTCTCACACGCACTATATTTGCTGGTGCGCAAGAACACTATCATGCTGAACTCTACGACCACAACATTCAGAATCGTAAATAGACGAAGGGTCAGCAGACAAGGTTTAATTATATGTAAAATAATTCATAAAATATATTGGCAAGTCCAGCCATCAAGAAATATACACAAAACATAGTACATTAGAATCCAATGGAATACATAGATATCACACATGCTCCTTGCTCCCAGGAGTCCAAAAATCAACCTTAATATCTATACATTGCTACACTGGACAAGATATCCTTAATATTCCTCTCTCTACGAGAGCCCAAGATCAACTGAGGTGTCCACCTCGTGGTCAATCCCCGACCAGGAAAAATCTCGTGCTAACTGCACGGTATAGTTCAGTGACTACTAGTCACCAAATATTACAGGGGTTCTAAAACTGATATATGACACCGGGATGTCAGCTGAAAATGGATTCTTCCAGCTTCATAAGCATGAAAGTTCTCAAAATGATATGAGAATCCGTTTTGCAGTTTTTATACAACATCAAAGAAATTATGCGTGGGTCACATGACTTCAGAAAACTCACTGGTAAAACTTTAAATAAGCTACATGAAGATTTACTAACTCATGTTTCATTTAGTACAGGCATCTCAAACATAGCATTCGTGGGCCGCATGCACCCAGACCACTTTTCATGCGGCCCGCTTGGCCACCTCAAGAATGATCAAAATGATGTTAAGTTATTAAGAGTTTAACAGTCAACATTACTTTTCCGAAAAAAAAAATGTACTGCTAAGAAAAATAACGTAACAATCAACTTCGTTGAACTTATTAACTATTCTTTAAATTATCAGATTGTTAAAGCAAAAAATTTCTCGAAAATCTCGCTCATTTATTAACTTATCTTTCAAGTTATCTTTTAAGTTAAGTGTTGATTTGTTAACTTTTAAATTATTATTAATTGTTAATAATCACATTATGAATAAGCCAATAAGTTAGAGTTAGATTTACATTTGCCACTAATCATTTAGTGAAGATGATTTTATTAAGGAGTGTCGTCAAAGCTGCCGAAGCAATTAGTCCAGAAAAGGTGAAAGCATTCAAAGAAATAGCGTTAACAAGGAACACCGTGGCAGATAGAATAAATGGCATGTCAGTCAGCTTGCGTAAACTATTAAGGAACAAAATAGCTGATTTTTAATTCTTTTCAATGGCTCTCGATGAGTCAACTGATGTAACGGGTGTAGCACAGTTGGCTATATTCATAGGACCTTTGACAGGAATTTTGATATACACGAGGAACTACTTGAGCCCTGTTCTATGCACATAACACAACAACAAACGAGGATGTTTATGAGAAGTTACAGGAGGTGATATTGCAGTACTATTTACCTTTAGTAAAGCTAGATAGTCTAGCAACGGACGGTGTAATGGTGAATAGTAATGGTGTTGGGGCAAATCTATAATAGACATTTTTGCTAATTTTAAATGTTCTCATTTTCAGTCACTCATTTTTCATTCACCAAGAAGCCTTATGTGCAAAGCAATTACAGTTCCAACTTGTGTTAAGACCAGTTTCAGTCGCTGTCAATTTTATTCGTGACTTGGCTTAAATCATCTCCAATTTTCAATGTTTCTGGATGAGATTGGACACGAATTTGATTGTGTTCCGCTGGCTCTCCTGAGATTTTTTGCACTGCTCAAGGAAATAGTATTGTTTCAGACCATGAAAGGTGAAACTGTTGAACATTTCTAAACGGACGAATGGGTTCATGATTTGGTATTTGCAGTTGATCTCACTGGTCACCTGCGAGATTTAAATTTGAAACTTCAAGGTAAAGACAACATTTTCGTAACTACGTGTGATGATGTGAAGTGCTTTCAAGCAAAGTTACGACTGTGGATAAACCAAATATCAAGAGCAAATCTTGTTCACTTCTCAACGTGTCAGGAACTAAAAAGATTAAAAACTTCTACAACATTTGGTAAAAATGTCCTACATCTGGAATCGTTATTAGATGCTTTCATTGACCGCTTTCGTAACTTGGTTTCATTCAAGCAAGAAGTTTCGTTGTGTGTATCTCCATTTTCATTTGCTTATGAAAATGCTGCTTATAATGTGCAACTAGAGCTGATAGAATAGCAGTCAGAT